CTATAAAATGTATAAGTTACAGTTTTCATTTTTATGAAAATTTAATCGTATCATCTTTACCATTTTTTTCATAAAACTCCAAATATCTTCGTAATTGAATGTGAGGTTGAAGTTTTATTAGGAAGTTTATATGCATATGTATGTGTATATTATAGATTAGTACAGAATTATGCTTTCCACTTCTAAATTTTGCACGTACGTTCAAATTCTATCGGCGGATCTAATCGCATTGCGAAATATATTTTGCCGATACCAAATTAGATCGGCCCGGGGTCAGAAAGCAACCGAGCGAAATCCGCGGTTAACTGGTTCGAGAAGGGAAAATCACGACGGGGCCTAAACGTAGGGTGAATCAAACGGATAAGCGTAGCACAAATTGCACCATCGTGCGGTGCTTCTGTGGAATTCTTAATGCCTCGATATTTACTTCAATCATCAGCATCAACACCGCATCGAATGTAGTCGCGACTTGATCAAACAATATCGAGCATAGAAAGAACCGCTTCTATGAAAATATTCCGCCCAATCTGAATTAACACGCTCTTGAACGCAAAGCCAATGCAAAATGTTAATACATTATTGGATCTGTGTACTCACGAATGTTGGAATGATTCTGCACTTTTGGCACCTCTTGCTCCTAGAACTGTCAATTCACGAAAACATTTGTGTAATCTACAAATGTTTTCACGAAATGACAGTTCTAGGAGCAAAAAGTGCCAAAAGTGCAGAATGACTCCAGCATCCCATCTTTGATCCTAAATTGGCAAAAGTAAAAAATTTCCGACTCAGTTTTTAAGTAGGAGTAAATTTTGTACTCGCAGTTCGACCTCTTTTACTGTCTTAGGTCCTGCTATATTATAGATTTAAAGGTTCAACATGGGGCCAAAATTTCGACTCGGGCTTTACAACGTAATCGACGGACATTAGGAAACGAAGTTTGCGTGGACAATTTCTCAATATTCGTCAGACAAAATTCGCCTATTTGAAACTTAACAAGATACATAGCAGAAATGTGGAAGGACGGTAAAATAATAAAGTAAACTAGAGAGATGCGTCCGCGCGCGCGCAGGCAGTATCGAAGCGCATGATCGGAAGAGAGCGGAGGGTAGAATTCCCGCACAGCTCTCGTCTAAAGGGATGATTAAATATTTATCCAGAAGGTGCCGGACATCTGTCGATATGCCTTGTTGCACTTTATTTTGGCGCGGTATATTTGTTTAACATTAACGCGCGAGTGCGCGCGCGCGCAAACGCGCCCTCTCACCCTAATTCGCCTCGTCGTCGCCGTCACTTCGGCAAACAACGGCACACATGCTACGACCTGCTCGAGGTTTGGTCCGTGGCCAAATACGAATTATTAGCGTTGTCTTTGGCACATATCGCGGACAGCGTATTCATGACGCAGTTAATAATCGCGAGACAACTTTGGTAAAAAAAAAAAAATCTAAACAGCAGAACTGGTCTTATGTTCGTACAGGAAAACTACAAAGAGCCAGTCAAATCTAGCATCTTCCGCAATTTTTTACTGCTATTTTTTGAATTTTAGATCAAATCCGTACGAGAAATCAAACATTCCCTTATAGAAATGTAAGAGAAATAATTACTAGAAAATTACTGTACATCAGTAATTTCTAATAATTGATTCACTGAATCATTTGGTCAACACTGTTTATTTTAAACATAATTTTATCATTGCATTATAAAAGAGACCCGGAAAAAGTGATCGATTCGAAGCCGAATCGTCGATAAATCGAAATTCAAGATCGTCGAATTACTCGCATTCGAATCTCTTCGATTCGAAAACGAATCGAATCGAATTCGAGGCGATCCACAGATCTCTAATAGTCCACATTAATTATAATACCAGACCTTCATGTAAAATTTTTTTAACGATTGTGTCGTTATTTAAAAAAAATTCCCCGTTTCTCGAAAGATTTACGTATCGTGGCTAAATTGGTCCTTCCCGGCCAGGCTCGATTTTGCATCTCGCTTGCCGTTGTTTTTCCCTTTTTTCCAATCAACGGTAGATCACGAAGAAGCACGATGCCAGGTGTAATCAATTTCGGATTAATTAGCGCGCGAGGGGGCTCAGGGTGTTCGTCGCGTAGTTCAAATTTCGCGAAAAATCGCCACGCCGGTTGCGCAACCGGCGCGCGACAACCAGCAGCGGCAGCGGCAGCGGCAGCGACAGTAGCAGCAGCAGCAGCAGCAGCAGCAGCAGCAGTAGCAGCTGATAAAAATCCAATAGCCCCAGTGTTTGCCAGCCGGAAAGGGCAATCACGTTCATCATGGTGTCCTGCGCTCCCGCCGCTGCCTCCCGCCGCCGCCTCCGCCGCCGCCGCCGCCGCCACCGCCGCCGTCGCGGTGCCACCCTCCGCCGCCCATCTCGCGTCCCTTCTAACCCCCGTGCAGGCTCCCCTAGCTTGAACAACCGACAGCTCGAGCAGTTACGTCCTACGAGCCCTGAACGTAGCCGCCCCTGGAAAATCCGGGGGTGGGATTCACGTGCGCGCACGTTGAGGAACGAACGGTTTAGGGAGTGACGAGGAGGGACGGAGATTGAAGGGGAGTTCGCCGCGCCGTAAGGGAGCCGGGGACGCGGCGGGGAGGGGGGGGGGAGGGCAGAGCGGCGTAATAGGGGGTCGAAGGGGAAGAGGGTGGATGAGCGGCAGCAGCACCGGTCAGATAAACGCTAAAGCAAATAAATCCGCTACTTTAACATGCAGGTCACCGCAGGTGTCTGTTTATTTTATTCGTTAAATATTTCATTTGGCCGGCTAGGGCCAATTACGAGCGCGCCGAACGGACCGGCCTCGCCGTTTCGCTCTGACGAGCCGCGCCGGGCGCTCTCTCTCTCTCTCTCTCTCTCTCTCGCGCGCCTCGCGCGACAATTTCTCGTTTCGCGACGGGAAACGTAAAACGCAATATTTGCCGTTCGTAGATATCGTAAACTTGAGTCCTGACTGAATTTCCCCATATAGGTTTTCGGCCATTTTCATTTTTGAATAAATTAGTAATTATTTCACACCGATTAAAGCAATTAAAGATTTCGTATTTTAAATTGAACGGCAATTTATGTTTCTACATCTACGAAAATAAAACTGATTGCACTTCGTGCAATTTTAAACTTTTATTCTGTAATTTTTGCTTTTCTAAACAAAATAATTGTCTATTAAAGATTGAATTGCAATTTAGCGAGGTTCAATGATCATAAAAAGTAATTTATTCGTTAACATTTTTTCTCAACAAACAGATTGGAAGAGGTGGATCGATATTTTTGATCCCCTCCGTTTTCGCTACATTGATCTCATTTTTTTTTATGGGAACATGTTAGGATTATTGTTTATTTATTCAGTAAACTCTCGCTTTTTTGGGCTATATCCGCAGTTTAAAGTAGTTAATGTGACTCGAAGTATTTAATTTTAACTGCGGTGTATTTGTAGAACTTCAGAATTGTATTTCGGTTTGTATACACAGTAACAGTGAGATGTTGGGAAAGAATAATTCTAAAAATAAATGTAATCAAAATTAATTTCTTCAGTTTCATTTTATTCTTTTGACGAATTAATTTTATCATACATGTAGAACGGAAACCATGAAAATTTAAACGCTGCGCAAGGATTTTATAATCGTCCTGTGTATCGGAAATCAATATTCTTACCATAACTATGCGTGACTTCAATTAGCAAGCATTTCTACTTCGCTAGACAATTAATTGTCATCATTCTCGTATATTAAAAAATAATCTGAATAACTGTGGATAAATTTTTCGACCGTATCTGGATATCTGCCTTCCTGTACCGGCACAAAAATTTCTTATGTAGTTCGTAAATTCCGTATCTGACTACGGATTGAGATTGAAATTTGACCAATCAGAGTAAAGCTTACTGATCTCAAGTTTAGTGAATTTTACTCTGATTGGTCAAATTTCAATCTAATCTCAATCTCAGCCCGTAGTCCGATACGGGCTTTACAAATCAATTATGGAGCTAGCACCAATTCGTATGACTCTGACTTTTCTCTAGCAATTAGAGATAAATATGTACACGATAAACACGTGAATTTTGAACAGAAATCTTATTCGCGTATTAGTAAAATTAAATTGCAACAATATCTAGTTTCGCTAAACGCTGTCATTATATTACAATCCCGTTTAAGTAAGTTATAAAACGAAGAAATAACATCCAAGTGGCTAAATAATGTTAGTGCAATTATAATATATTATTTCGCGAACAGATCTCATAAGAGCAGGTCGTTATTTGAAAATAGTCGATTACTCTATTTGCCAATGTCTTCCACGAATAATTTACTTCGATTGTTAGACTCGAGAGTGTAGTTAATCCTGACAAGTTTTCTTGTTGGACGTTTTGATTTTATAATGGGACGACATCTTCACGCCTTCAAATGTAGAATCATGGCTACACTTTCTAACCGCTTGACTCAAAAGACTTATTTTAACTTCACTTGTAGATCGCGCTTTATATTACGTTATTAAATCAACCAAGCGGTGTGCTAGGCCTGATTTTAATCAAATTTCATGTTAGTAGGTTACTTTTTTATTTTCCACACTTTCTATCGTTTTCTATATATTAATTTGTGCTGAGGATGGTTAAGTCGAAACGTTGAATATAATACAATATATAATACGTGACGTATTTATATTGACGTATTTATTATATTGTATTTGATGAAATCTATTATTTATTAGCAGAAGAAATCTGTTTAGTGGAAAATTTATTGTTAGATCGTGTAATCGTTGTGAATACAGATTTGTGATTAAATTTTTATGTTGAAAACCTGCTATCTCATATTAGAAGCCTATCTCACAATAAAAGACTTTCCTCTGCAATTATATTTTGAAGAAATGTGCACAATAATGAATTCGGATGTCGTCGTCCTCTCATAGCTTCAACAAAATTCATATATATATATTCGTAAATCGTCAGGGCGGAAGAAAAGAACGAAGCCTAACGCCGTCGGACACTGTGCCGGTGTTGCAGGTCTGGTTCCAGAACCGGCGCGCAAAGTTTCGCAAACAGGAGAGACTGGCCCAGCAGAAGTCGACGTCGCAGAGCGGCCTCGGGGCGGACAGCGGCGCGTCCAGCCCCGTGACCGGCACCGTGAAGGCGGAGGGACGCTCGCCGAGGAGTCCGGCGACGCCGCCCGGCGGCTCCAACAGCGTGCTGTCGTCGAACGAGATCAAGCCGATTAGCAACCAGAGCCTGGTGAACGTGAAGAACGTGGACGGCGCGGGCGACGGCTCGCCCAACATCCGGGGAAGCAGCGGCGGCGGCAGCGGTACCTGGGGCTCCTGCAGTCCCAGGCCCTTCTCGGCGGCCCTGCCGCCCTACCTGTTAGACCCGCTGCCGCTGAAAACCGCGAACCTTTACTAAACCGTCTGCCTCTCCCGTTAACCGGCCTGGCGGAGAGTGTAAATACGAGAGAGCCGCCCGCTCGTCGATACGGAGACGACGCGCCGTTCAGGTTCAGCTCCAGGTCCTTTTTCTCCGGACCTCGGTTTGCCGTGGCACGCGAACTCATCAGCGTCCATCCGTACGTGCGGATTTAGAGGACTCCGGTAAGACGCGCCGCTCATATTTTTGACAGAGATACGTTTAGGCCGTCGGCAGAACCGGGCAGAAGGTTCGTCAGCTAATTTGCTTCGGGGTAGCGTCTGCTGGGATTCCGAAATTTGTGTGCACACAAGACAGTTAAATGCCAATCATTGGAAAATTCGCGGTGAATGTAATTTACAATTAGTGAATTTCGATTGTGGTATTATTGTGCAGAGATTTAGAAGCCAAATGTCGTCTCTTAAGTTTGACAGAGAAATCATTCTTGACATCCAATATTTTCAGCAGTTTTATTCGTTCGTTCTGCATTCCTGTGATAAGTGTAGAAACATTTGAGCAATTGCATAATATGCGTTTCCTTCATTTCTTCCCGGTTGCCTCTTAATTTACACGTTGAGGTACTGGAAGGTAGATGTAGATAAAGAGAAGAGAGAAAGAGAGTAGCGTACGTTACATGTAAAACATTGTTTCCGTTTATATAAATATGCTGTATTATTTAACGAAATAATTTTCAAGCAAGGCATAACTTGGAAAACGCAGTTTCAAAACACCACTATCCAGATTGAAATCGAGACTACTAACCAAAATAATTGAAAGAGTAAACGGATTTAAGCTCGTATCAGATTCACATACCGACTGATATCGAGGATAATAGAGCTTGTACAAGCGTTTACTCTAAGCGACAACTTTAATGTTCCCGAGGAATAAGAGCGAGGCAGAATTGCAGACCTATACCGCTTCATTCCATGGGTGAGTTTACTTTGTAGTTTTATATCTTTTAGGATTACAATTTGATAAAAGAACAATGAAATTAACCTAAACGTTGCAATCCTAAAATCAGAAGGAGAGATGCCCTTCTCTTAAGCGGAAATTTATTCCATGTCTTTTAATTTATATTTCATGTCTATTTAATTTACCGTGAATTATTGATTTTCTTTAATGAATCAAGAACTTTCAATGAAACTGATTCACTTGGGATATTGAATAGAGCTATTGTGAACATTAAATCAATGTAAGGTAATCTTGAAGTGCTCTAAATATACCACGCCATCTTCATTTATTGATTCGTTCCGTTAGAATCATAAGGCAGGAAGATACGCTTCGTCCAAAAACACGATGAAAATGCCGTTCGAGCATCGCTCTGACTTTCGCGGGACGTCAAATTTTCGTTTTCAGTACATGCTTTCCATCTCTATTATTTTCCATCGACAATGCCAAGCTAGAATTAACACAAGAGAGGCACAGCGTAGAATAGGATTCATAAAAGTACTGTTAATCGCGATTCTCACTGGGTTAAACAGACTTAGTTCATCGAGATTGATTTAAGTACTGAAAATTGTTGCGAAAATCTCTTACGGTATTTATTCTGTGTATCAAGTAGCAAAAGACATAGACTTCCACAGTAAAATCCTTGACGCAAATACCGAATGTACTTTCGCACTGATTTAACGCGCGATTCCAGCGACCTGTCGAATAATTAATTGATTAAATATTAAGAGCAGCGATCAATAGACAGAAAAGCGGAAAAGAGGGAACGAAATCTTGCTTGGTGTCGAAATAAAAGTGACTCTCGATACAAAAGTCCATTTCGCTAAATTACGAAGGAAGTGTAACATTTCAGAAGAGTGTCGTATTGTGTCAATTGTTAAATTGTATTTTGCAACTTCGGGGAATTTATATCCATCTTAACAAATGTTTATACTAATCTTCACATTTCTTTACGTTCAAAATGCCTCTATTAGTCTAAAGGGAACCCGATGGTCACACACACAATCCAAATCTGGTGAAGATAGCCACCTGAGTTGACTATTAGTTTGATATATCAATTCTATATATTCCATTTTGTTAGGAAGCCTCTGTTGCGGGCCTACGATATTGCAATTTGTTAGCTTCAATTTGATAAAGGTGTAAAATTTAGAGTGTACAAAGCTCTATGAAGAAAGTCTTGTATCAAGAATCGCTGTGCAGCGCGAGACAATTGATTCGCGTTAATTCGCAGATCGACGGAATTTCTTCTTAGAAGGTCCTTAAGATAAATACTTACATACCGTCCTGTGTGTCTCGTACCAAGAAGAGCGAAGGTACCTGTCTTATCACAATATACGATGGACAATTTCGGCAGTGGTCTGACTCGTTCGTCGCGCGCCCGATAACGAGCGCACCTTATTCTGCGTATGTATAGTTTATCGATTACGACTGAATCTATTTTATAGTGAGATGTATAAATGTACATTAGTTAAGACGAAGGTATGTATAGTTCACCTGAAAATATTTTTTTCTTTTTCCTTTCGTGAGTCTCGTCAAATCCGCCTTAACTTTCAGAGGGTCGCCTTGACTTCCGGAAAGCGCGATTGAATGTGTCATTTACTGACTGATTGCAGCCGTGTTGGACACCCTTGAAATTCGTTACATTCGTCGCGACATCGTTTGCAATTCTACTCGGAAGGTAGTCGTTTGTATTTCCACTACGGTAGTGCGAAAGTATCGAAACCGGTTAATTGGCTCGTAGAAATTGGCGTCCAGTGTCTAACGGAGAGGAAATTGCCAGCGGTTGTTGAAATTTTAGTAAATTATTGCGAAGAGAGAAATGAATATTTTTAAAAGGTCCTCCGAAAGTTAATGAGACAATAGCGTGCGAAAATTTCTATCGTGTCCCGAGGCAATCCATATCCCAGTTCGATAACGAATGTGATTTTTTAACGAGGCACTTTTACAAAACTGCGTATTACTGGCGCGTAGCGAGCCGCGCTCTCGCCCGTCTCCTTGGAAAGACGCGCATTATCGATTGTACGCGATACGGGGCGACGAGAGGGGAAAGGCTCGTCTCCGCAAGCCAGGAGTTCGTGAGCTCTGAACAGCTTCGTTGCTCCCGCCATTATTGTTAAGATTAACGAATGGTAATTATCGATATGTGTGAACCGGAACTTGTACAGTTGTTGCTATAAATATATGAAATTAGTGTTTTACACCATATTCATACTCACTTCTCTCCGTTGAAATCACTCCAGTGATTCCCACGACAGTTCCGTTGGAGGGCTATTGTTTACATTTTACTAGTGATCATACTTGGTGCACATTTTCTTGGTAAAGTGCATGGTAAATTTTCAAGGAAACTCTTTATAAAGTTATTCAAAATGCGATTACACCATTTTCAGAGTGAAATTTAAGGGAAAATTCTCTCCGTGTAGGCGACATGCGTAGCAGCCAACATCTGCATTACCGTTTCAATTTGTCTGTATTTAATGTTAAACTTTATATCGTCCGATTATCTCTTGCGATTTCGCGATATTTTGCGTGAATAAAAATTTGTTTTTACTTCGTTCCGTTCGGGTAAAGAAGAATGTTGAGAAGATTTCAAGTACACATTTATTGAAAATCATAATTAAATTAGCTTTTCGTCTTAGTCGTCGGTTACATCGTTGCTGCTGGTCGTAGCCCGGTTATATCATATTTATTGTACATTTTTTATTCGTATTCATCCGCTTATGTCGTCCGCGAATGTCCGCTGCAATATCGATGCCGTGTGTTTAATTATTACGCTGTAAATCTCAAAATGTTTGGCCTGATGTGACAACCTGATCGAAAAGCAGTATTCGTCCGCCGTAGAGTTTTCGCAATTAATACTTGCATAAGTTCGATCGAGCGAGACAGTCAAAAAGCTTTGCATCCTTAATTTTCGTGATGCATTCTGTCTCGCAATTCTAATAGAGGAGAGAGAAAGACGTTATCTAATATGCTTAATCTTGAGCAACGCTGGTGATCAAAAACGTTAAACAGTGAGCAATATCAGCGATATAAAACAGTTTGGCAATCTTCGTCGTTAGCGGATCGCAGTGCACCTTTACTTATTGAAAATATCTCCGTCTCTTAAGCTATGTAAATACGTAATAGGTTGTCCCTAAATCTCTATTTATGTCAAGAAATTTGATAAGAGTCAATATCTTAATTAGTCAGCTCGAATCGAATCAACAAGGTAAAAAGGGATCTTAAGTTTGAGACCTTTAAGTCTAAAATAAAATTTCCATCAGCCAGCACGAAAATAAATAGGGAGACATTAGAAATTGTCGAGAAAGATTTTCCACTTTCGTTGGGGGAGGAAACGAAAAAAGTTGAAGCAATAAATTCGGTCAAAATGGTTGTAAGTTCAGAGATATCCAGCCCGCCAGTGTCTTCGCAAGTCCAAATCTGATCGTCTCGCGGATCGATTGTCGAGTCGTATTCTCCCATTTCCTGATCAACAATAAGAAAAGAGAAGAGAAAGAAAGAAGATTTCGTACGTTCGTAATTGCTCGTCGTCAGATTAGTCGTTTGCGCGTAGTGTCGTCATCGAGGATCGCTCAGGCTGCTATGAAAATCACGTGAAGCGAGAATCGTAGAATATCTAACGAGTGGAGCCAGCAGTTCAGTTTCAACTCTCTCGCGATACATTTACGAATCTCGTAAAATCTTGATAGCAGCCGGCGCAAGCCGTCGTGACGATTGAGCGTGAATGGGTCTAATTGACTGCAAGAATAAACTCGCGTATCGTCGATAACCTCGCGATCGGGTGACGCATTATTTTAATAATGGCAAGAGTCGATACCCTCCTTAAATCCCAAAATTAAGGCAAAGACTTTATAGACGTTTCACAAAAATTAATGTACCTATCGGACATTAATTCCCAATGAACACCATTGATGTTATGTCACTTGGTGTTCACTAGGTTGATACATAAAACGGATTATTCACACTTTTATATCTTTCTAAACGCAAGTTCTAATCCCTTTAACGTCAAACGTTCGGAGCGAGGAGGGTCACTAGTGTCATTATTAAAACGACAAATTTCTGCCTCGGCTCGTACAACGAATAAATAAATGATCGAGCTCAATAATGAATTTGTCCGTAATACGATCAATGCGCGATTTCACATCGCAATATTATCAAGAGCCCGCAGTGGCTTATCCGTGCGCGGTCCGTGCTTCGTCGACCGTGGAGTCAAACGGACACCATCATCCCTCCACTACGGCGCCACTATTCGCGATAATGAAAGTGTAGTCATCGACATTATCGAATCGTCGTATAAGCTAGGAAAGGAGAAATCGAAATTCCCGGAGCAGCGCGTTCGTCTGTCGTCGGATACACAGTCAGACGCCTCTATATATAGATGTATTTACATTAATATATAAGACTGGGATCGAGGGCGTTCCTCGAGCGGCGTGTGAAGGGGGTTGGGCCTGGCAATTAGGCCATCGTGAGGGTGCCCGCGCCCATTCCGAAGCCGACGCCCTTGGGCCCAAAGTTCCGGCCGTAGCAGCCGCGGCAGTAGATGTCCCCGTCCGGGCCGTCGTTCAAGTTCGTCGAATCTAGGGAACGGCCGCACTCGCCGCAGCTGAAGCACCGCTTGTGCCAGACGCGGTTCTTCGAGATCATCTGCTCGGCGGCGTACACCGGGTAGCCGCAGCGCGAGCAACCGTGCCCGTCGTTTCGCTTCTGGCCGACCTGGGGCTTGGAGTCCATGCTGCGAAATGAGAACAACGTCTGGGAATCTCTGAGAGAGCAAGGAGAGCCTCGGCTGATTTGTCGAGGTGATCAGTCTACAATTATTATCTCCAAGTAGATTTTTCTTATCAAAATTATCCTAGTGTAGATAGAAAAAAATTTATTTATCAAGTAAAATGTATAGAGGAAAGTCTCCTATTATGAGATAGACGAGTTTCTGCTAAATTAATAGGCATCGTCTGTTGGTTCCACCGTGAATCTATTGCCCTTAGAGTAAAATTTGTTTAGTGGAAAATTCATTGTCAGATTGTGTAGCCGTTGCGAAAAAGGATTTGTGATTAAAGTCGAATGTTGAAGACCTGCTGCCTCGTAACAGGGCACTTTCCTCTAAGTCAACAAGTCGTATCTTTCTACCGAGTTCTTTGCGAATGCACGAACGAAAAGAATAATTACAGGAAGAAGTAATAGCTTGTTCCAATATTCCGGTGCGTAAATCATAGCGCTGTGTTTCATAATCCATTCCTATAACTTACTTCTCACGCGATACTACTCGAGTGTTAAAGGAAAATTATAATTAGAGAAGTAGGTCGATTATCAAGATCGCTATCAATCATCGAAGTTTCCCCGATAACAAACTTTTCGCACCGTGTTTCAGAAACTAATTACTCTCGGGAGCCGTCGTGATGCACTTACTACGAGGGGGCCTGATTTCCGTTCGTCGAGATGAGAGTCGGTTTGTGGCCGAACCCGAAGCCTTTGGGCCCAAAGAGCTTTCCGTAGCACGCGCGGCAGTGGATCTCCTTGTCGGGGCCGTCGCACGCCAGCATGGAGTCCAAGGGTCGGTGGCACTCGGCACAATTGAAGCACTTCTTGTGCCACATGGTGCCCTTGGCGAGCTGTTGTTCAGCGGCAAACACCATGCCACCGCAACGGGGGCAACCCTGCCCAGCTGGCGCCTTAATCGAGGTCGTATCAGGATTGTAGTAAGGTCGACTGGCCGAAATTTCTTCCTCCCTGCGGGTAATTAACGCGATTACGATCTCGCCTGGTCGAATTTAACGTTTCATTTTATCTTAATCCGCGAGGACGTTTTACGTGCTAACTTAATTTTTCATTGTTTCACCGTTTGACTGCGGAGAGTAAAGTGTGATATGCGCCAGCTTTCTGCTCACAAATGTGACAAGCAGTTTTCACTTTATTTTATCAGAACATTATGTACCAAGAATTAAATGTTTTTTTTTTCGAAAAGTAATGTAAAAATTAAGTAACGACTGTACAAACAAAATGATGTGTAGAGAGTAAAACTTTTATTATTCGAGAACATGAACTCTAACTTTCAATATGAAAAATGAAGTAATTAAAAAATGGACAATAAGTAATTCACGAATAATTCTTCAGAATGTGGTTTCATGCAGTAGTAATATTTATGGATTGTCTCGGTTATTTTTAATAATAAAATAATATTTTAATGAAACAAGGACAACAGAGGCGGCATAATGCATGATGAACAGTTATAACGTACGATGAAATATACTGGAACACAATGTATCGTGTACATACGATTTGATTGTCTCGACTTTGTCAGTAATTGAGTCGAGTAGCGATTTGTATTTTTTGTGTTTCGCATTTTTAATAAAAAAAAAACGCGCTTCTCGCAGTTACAGCGGAATAAGTGAAGAGCACGGTCACGCTCGTCTGCAGTCAAACGGTTAATTTTACTCAAACCGATAGGTCACAATAATGAAATATGCAAATGAAGATGTATGCGCTGAAATTCGCAAGATTTTCTCTTACGACTTTATTCTTCTTGAAATTTTAATTTTAATTTTACCCTCCTCAATTTCAGCATCCGTTAGTCCCTTCGAAATGTACTTGTTATTTTTCACTTAAATTACGTTCAAATCTTCGTCCAAGATCGAAATTTTGTCGTGGATTATGTTGGAAATATATACTTTGCATTTATATAACGAAGTCGCTAAAGTTCTATCTATACAGGGTGTACTAAAACCACCGGATATCCTTTTAATCTTATAAATTCTTTAGAAACTTTCAAGACAAAAATTCTAATACAAAAATGTCGAGGCTATAATAGTTTTTAAATAATAAGCGATTACATTTCACAAATGACAGGCCTGAGATTTCGCGCGCTCAGGTACGGCGACACGACAAGTGATAAAGATGTTCCTACGAATATCGCCCTTTTTAGCATAGTGACAACTTTCACAACAGACTTAACGATTCATTCTCGAATTAATTGTTCCTCTTGTTATCTTTAACCATTTCTTTTGTTAACTTTGTGTAACGTCTTATTAATAAAAGGGAGGGGTTTACTATGATGAGCATCTTGATCAGACTGATATCCTTCGATTTAGTCGATCTCCGATATTCTGAGTGAACTTGGAATTTTCAGTTAGATTCAATCCAGTCTCCTGCCTCTCTTTATCCTCAAGTTTTCAAAATAACCGGATCATCGTCTTCCCAAATAATTTCTGTCCCGTTAAACGGTGACTTTGGTTCTCGCTCGCTCGCGAAACACATAGGAACACTTTTATCACTCGTCATGTCGCCGTGCCTGAGCGCGCGAAATCTCAGACCTGTCATTTGTGAAATATAATCGCTTATTATTTAAAAACTATCGTAGCCCCGACATTTTTTTATTCGAATTTTCCTCTTGAAATTTTCTAAGGAATCTGCGATTAAAAGGATATCCGGTGGTTTTAGTACACCCTGTACAAGTACGGAAAATAGTGTTCTTGGAAATTTCATTTTTATAAACTTAATGACGAAAACCCATTTATAATTTTACCAATAATCGCTGTATTAATTAGTTTCCGTCGACTAGCCAAGTGTGTTTTGTGCATAAAACAAATCGCGAATCTGCAAATTCATGAAGTCACTCTTTATGAATGTTCGTCCAGCGTAGACTTTATGCAGCACCCGGTGCAGCTCGGTTATTTAAATCGACTTGTATTTATAGTCACGCGTTGAGCAGGGTGAACCCCCAGCATTGAGCCCCGGGACTTACGTGAGCCCGTCGGTCTGGAGGAATCCCGAGCCACATGCGAATCCGTATCCGTGCGGTCCCCACTTTTTCCCGTAACAGGTCTTGCAGTAAACATCCTGGTCCGGGCCGTCGCAGGCGATGATCGAGTCCAGGGTCTTGGTGCAGTCGTGGCACTTGTAGCACTTCCGGTGCCACTCGCGGCCCTTGCTCGCGAGCACCTGCTCGGCGGCGAAGACGACGCCACCGCAGCGGGGACAGCCCTTGCCGGGCGGTGCCTTGATTATCGCGGTGTCGATCACGGTGGTGCGAGGAGCCGCATCGCTGCATCGCAAAGGGTCACTCGCATTATCGCGGGTGGTTCTCGTTCTCGGCGACTGGGCCGATCGTTGAACCGTAGGGATTGCGGAAAAGCGATTGATTCTGCCCGATCAGACGATCAGTCTCCTAAGTAAACTCGATCGGGCGTTTCAACTTCACGCTGGGAGCAGGAACGTTGGATTTCCCTCCATTTTAACTTTAACTTTTAATCTCACTCGCTTTTCTCATCTCTGCGGCTCTTTCGCGATGTCACAAAAGAACGGAATTGCATGCGAATAATAGGGAGATATTGATTGTTGGTAATCGCTTGGCAAGGTACATAGAAGAGACATTGAAGTGGCTCAATAATGTTTCGTGACATTGTGGCAAGTCTTTTCAAATCCCTGCGTAGTAGTAAAGGGTTATTCACATCACAATCAAAATTCCTGTGACTTTCTACATAATACCAAAAAGAGAATACAACAATTATGATGTAGACATAACGTATAACGCTCCGCGATAACCAGATGATATGTAATAAATGTCGAGACAAGTTTTAATGATAAAAACTATGACGTGATATCTCTATTTTCCTGAGGCAGTATATAAGCTTTCGTTGTCACACCATAAAAAGACAAACAGTTTGAAATTGAGTTTCCTTCTGTGCCCGTAACACGCGATTACGAAGTGTTCATGGAGTCCCACGTGTAAATTACATGTCACACAGCTTTTCGATTCAATTAAGGGAAAAGACGGGAGCTCTAGCTCAACTTACATATGGCACATGATATCTAATAGGATATCTAGTCGCAGGGGACGTTAGTAGATAACAATTCGGATTCTACGGTGAATTTCGGGTGTAATTTCGATTGTTACGGGTGCATGCATGCAAGATCGTACAAACCGTGCGGTAACAGGAATGTCGAATGTATATGGAAGACTCTCTGGCAACTATGAACGTCAGTGCATTATATTCGACGAGTATAAAGCGCGTGAAGATCGTCATTGAGAAGTGACACTCGATATTCCGATTTACGATCAATCGATTCGTGATGCCAGGGTGAGTAGTAGCGCAAAGCGTTAAGGCGTCGGTCTATATGTATGTATATATGTATGTGCATATTATTATATACACATTATGCATATATACATGGACACACACAGGCGCGCGCGCGCAGGTACACAGTGTGTTTGGAGAGGGTGCGTGGCAGTGGCAATTTTCTTATACTCTTCGAGAAAGTCGATTTTTTCTCAGAAGAAATACGACCTTTGAAGACTCATGTGTTACTCGTTCGATTTAAATCTTTGCAAATTTACAACACAACTTCATAATACGAGAAGGTAATAAAAGGAGATTTTCTTTATGCAAATTGCATATATATGTATATCTTTGGAAGTATAATCATGTTTGCAGTAATATTACATTTGAATATTCAAGAGAGAGAAAGAGAGGAAGTAAGATTGCATAAATACTGACTTACGTATTTAAATATTAATTTGCAATTTTTATTTCTCATCTTCTTCATTTGCAAAATTCGACCGAAGTTAATATGGAAAATTTACGATCTGAAAACTGTGCTATCCAACACCAAGGAATAGCATCGCGATAATATTTTTACTTCTAAGCTGAAATTAATTTTTCATAATTAATATTGCACTTCGCCCTCGAATATTCCTTATTCCCGTACAAAGAATTCCCCGGGACTTGGAGCGTACGATATTACTTTGTCAGAAATATTGAAAGGAAGCTGCTGTATGCACAGGTCCGGAAGATCCATTCTTTTCATTTCAAATGCTCACAAAATAGAAGGGATTGTTCTCGTTTCCAGTGCAACGTGCGGAAGCCAAGAAGTAAGCTCGAGGAAATTTTTTTTGCCAAGGAAAAATCGACGCAGATTACTCGAAGATAAAGTTGCCGTTACTCGCGCGCTCCTCTTTCTCCGAGCACCCTGTTTACGCGCGCAGAATATAATCGTCATAACTAAGGGGGCGCGTACCCCTCGTCCTCAATATCGCACTGCAGCCCGATCCACATAATCCCGGCGTGGCCGACACCCCGCGGACCGAATTTCTTCGGATAGCAAGCTGTTAAGCAGACAAGCGCATCATATATAGTGAAAGTGTAGAAGCCGAGGCGGGATTTCTCTCTCTCGCGTGCTTCCCATTCCAGTCCCGACTCTCAAAACCCACCCATTGGCGTAGCAGTCACTCTGCAGGGCGCCGCCACCCTGGCCGTAGCCATAACCCTTCGGTCCGAACCTCTTTCCGTAGCATACTGTAGACAATATCGATTAAAGGTTGCACGTCGCCTAACGTTATCTCGTCATGATGGTCAGCGACGAAGACATAATCGTACAGACACGCCAATACAATCTTTCATTTTCCTCCAAATTCTTCTCCGTCTTGTCATTCGTATTAAACACATAACGCAGTGTAACTTATTGGAAAGTTTATATTTCAACTCATATTTTCAAACATTCTTTTAGCAGTGGTAAATTAAAGAAAACCTTGCGCATATTGGATTCAGAATGCATTAATGTTGCTTTAACCCTTTGAAGCATTTTTCTATTGAACCATTTGTTGTGAAACTCTGTATACAAGGGTTTTTGGGGTCGCTAATTACGAATCCGTTGTTAGATTTTCATAATTTAAAATGTTCCTTTATTGCTTCGGTACCAAGAAATGCATGCGTTAACTAGAAATTAAATGGCCAAAATGTAAAGAAGTTGAGGTGGTAACGTGGGTTACCACTATGCTTCAAAGGGTTAATACGCAATAATAAGTGAAATTTGTCACGTCGCCTAAAATAACAATGTTACCCTTAATATTTACTGAGTATTACAATAAATGTCACATGTCTCAGTGGTCGAATTGATAAGGACGCCCGTCACGGATTGAAGGGAAGTCCCAGACTCGCACCCTGATAGAAGTGATATTTTTCGCAATAATTCTTTACAATAGATATTTATTCGCGAAAAGTTCAATCGATTACCGATTTAATTATATAAATTTACTATTCCAAGAAAACGAAACTACACGGGGAGCATTTTCTCTTAAAATTTATCCTGAAAATCGTGGGACAACACGGCATTTCGAAGAATTTTCCGAGTTTTTGAAATTTTTCCATACATTTTATTTTAATAGAATGTAAAATTCCAAAGAACTCTCATCCAGTTCTTCGAAATGCCATGTTGTTCCACGATTACATGATCTTCAGGGTGAAATTTAAGAGAAAATTGTCTCCGTGTATGTTTCAAGATTGAAAAGTAATCGACGCGCAATGATTTTAATACGATTAGAAAGAGATATATTCCTTGTATGTCTCTTTTTAATTATATTTAAAGGTTTGAATTTCTTTCGATTTCTTCAAGACGAGGGAAAAGATGAAATTTTCTTTTTCGACAGCTTTAATGCTCCCAGTCTCGAGTACCTAATCATCAATATTCCAGTACTTGTATTATTCAGCGCGACACACGTGTGAAAAGTATCTGCATACGTGTGGCGACAAATGAAATTAATTTCTTATCACATTTCGCGCGTCTTGTACGTTACGTCTTCATGCGCGCGATCGTGCCGCAGCCTTACCTTTGCAATAAATGTCCTTGTCAGGACCTTCGCAGCAGTTGACGGAGTCTAATCTTTTCGAGCAGTTGGCACACTTAAAGCATTCCCTGTGCCATTGCTGCACGAAACACAAAGGATGGGGTTAGTCACTGAAAGTTTCAAGGAGAGGCAAAAGTACTATTGTACAATATTATTTTCTTGTACAATTATTCAGGAGCGCAGACATTGAAAGCTCCTTGTAGCCCGCCAAGATTTGTTTCAAGATTCCTCGCAGTAGCAACAAGCAATGCTACTGTAAATCTTTATTCTCTCATTTCAGCCATTTTAATATTTATATCGTCCCATTGACTCTTGCGAAATTCTTACAGGCCGGTTTATTCGAAACATTGTATAGTTTTTTTTTCTAGAAAAATATTCTCGTAGCAGCTTTTAGTGAAGATAACGATTTCTAATGATCCAAAAAGATATTACTATTGATGCAGCTAAGTTCAGACGGGTTTCAAAGTTATTACAAAATGTAGCGAATTCTCTAAATAATCAAAAGTCGAGAAAACGAAATTTGTATATTCTGGAATCCTATTTTTCTCCGTTGTCTCTTATTTCAAATAATTCCGAAAACTTTATCGATAAAATCTTATTTATCATATTCATTTAGTGTATATTCGTTGGACTAATTTAAGATTAAAAAACTTAACAAATCTCAATCTGTAATTGAAAATTCTTAGATAATACTTAACACTAAAACTTAATGCTAAAACTGAAACATTTTCACTAACAACTTTTCGTAATTTGATCTCTAGTGTTTATGGTTTCCTGTAGTGCTAATTCTGGAAGACGGCGGTCTAAATTCGCTCGGAACAAATAAACACATATTCGCGCGCCTTGATAAGAAAGACGAGAAAAAGGAATGATAAAACACATGATAATCCTTCGTCTGTGATATTTTGCAGCCCTTGTATATTCGGGGGCTGTTTCCTGGCGGCGTGGAAAGAGTTTACAAACTGATTTTAGTAGGTAACAACAGCAATAATGAACGAGTCAGAATCGGAATCGGACGGAATGTAGACAGACAAATACGTTGAGGAGATATAATAATCGTTCAACGTTTCAGAACACAGGACTGTCAGTACGGATGTCTGTGCAACAAATCGAGAAAGAATTAAGGAAACTGGCGGAGCCATAAGGGGGACTGCAGATTCTTTAGACGGAAGATACCTCGACAGTATATCTCGCGGTCAGGACCATCGCAATGAAGCGTCGAGTCCAGAGTACGGCGACACATTTTGCACTTGAAGCACAGTTTATGGTAAGCCTAATCACAAGAACGAGGATTGACCAAAACGACGGTCTACTGGCGCCCGACGAGACGTTTATCGGTTCTTGGTGCCGCGACGAATCGTCGAGCATTTCAATTTTCACATTTCGACCATCGGATAGAGTGTTTCGGGAGAAGCTTGAAGGCCCGCGTCCACGGTGCCGGAACTTGGACCAAGTTCCGGCATCGTGGACACTAGGCCTTAACACTTCCCAAAAAAACTCTCAAAACAACGTGTGTCAAAGATCTCGCGTTAGAATGTGCATTCGCATTGACGTGATTCGAGATAAAAAGAATTTTGACCAAGTGGCGTCTTGTTCGCAAATTTCTACGGGGATGTGATTTTCCGTTCGAGGAGAAGCGCGAGCAGGAATAGCATAATCGAATTCTCGCGCGAAGAAGCGATTTCAAGCGGCAGGCAGGTGAGTCACGGGCGACGAGAAAGATGGATCGCCGTCGCCGTTTTCGCGCGCGGATTATCGCTGGACCAGATTGTCGGCCAGCAATTAGCCTCCATTTCTCTGGTTCCGCGAGCGGCGCTCCTTCTGGTAGCGAGCCATTTTATCGCCGGGTATCGGGCCGGCTAAGATTGGCCGGCCAGTTGGTGCGTCGCCAAAATCATTCTCTGACGAAACCACCGAGAAAGTTTCTGGGCTAGCACCCCCGGTCCAGAGCGAATCCTCCGCCTCTCATCCCCTCCCCCCGTTCCTCTCTCGCGCCGCTATTTTTTCCTCACATTGTTATGAAATGGAGATTGGATAAGATTACGGGGACGCGTGACGCGGCCCATTACCGCGCGCCGCGTGCCGAATTTAGCCGCGCGGCAAAAGCCGCGACATGCCGCGCCGCGTTTTGCCGCAGCTGTTTTGTAACCCGCGCTTTTTACCGCGGCGCGGTTCCGTCCAGATTTTCCGAAATACACGTGAGTAAGCGCGACGAAGAGGACGCCGATTGCGTCAATCTGTCTGTCGCCGCGTCAGCGACCGATTTTATTGCCTCGCGTGCTAAATCGCGCGCCACAATCCCACGAGCCGCCCTCGCCCGTTGAAATATCCGCGGCTCGAGGCTGACCCACCCACAGGTATCGCAGCGCGCACCTGGCTGCGACTCGAGGAGTGTGTGAGAAGCTATTTTCGACTATCATCTGCCAATCTAAAAGCAGATGCGAGATCAGTCGAGGAATCATGAATTGATGAACGAGTAAACACCATGTTCCCGCGTTTTGCTTTATAGACAAAAGTGCAATTGCAAGCCTAATTGCCTAGAGATTTACGTTGTACGGCCATGGTCAGAGAACGGCTGCCCGACGTTTCACAATAAGTTTTCGTCGCATAGACATTCGTACGTACGTGAAAAATGTAGCTGCCGTACTCTCTAAATTTTTTCGAGTGGAATCTCACTCGAAAAGAGTGAGATTCTCGCTCGAAGAAATAATGAAAATACTGTTATTCACTCTACTTGGCTCTTCAACTCTGAAAAGAGAGTGTTACGTTTTATTTTAATCGATTATTGCTAGCAGTGTAAAATTCCTGGAGAGCTTCGCTATTGTTTGTTCACTATAGGATCATCGCATGTAGAGGCTGTATTCTGATGTTCACTGTATTGAAAGTCGGACGACGTTTCTGACCACGACTGTGCATAACCGATTCAAACGGTATCCCAAAACTCGCGCGCTTCCTATCAATTATCCTCACGAGTAAAAGATTAATAGTCTACTCAGCGTGTCCGAAAGATTAATAGAAAAACTTGGTTGTTTAACTGAGACCTGCCGACTCCCCTTTAATCTTTAAAATGCACGAGCGAACGATCAGTCGAAGCACCAAGGAGACGCAAGACTTTTATCGTTGTGCATTTAACGCTAAATACAATCGTGTAACTATCGCCACGTCACTCGGCGTTCAAATAGTCGAGCTTTGATGCTAATAGGATTTCTTAGTTGACCGTTTGTGTCGCATTTAGTGTTAAATGCGCACCGCGCACGCCTGTCTCTTAAATCGACTTACCCGTCCACGGGCCAACATCTGCTCGGCGGCATAAACGTACCCTCCGCAGCGAGGACATCCCTCTCCCTCGGGCGCTTTGGCGATAGCCCGCGGCTCGAGAATAGCATTCGAACCTCGCGAAAATTCCCTAAAAATTCAATTCGTTACAATCCATCCGTCGACAAAGTTAACAATACTGTAGCAAGACTCAGAAGTGAGACGAATTCATTTCATTTCTTATCGCTTTTGATATTTACAATCATTTTCTCGTCAAGTAACATCTGGCACGGGGTGATATCCACCACGATTGATCCGTCTCGCCTGTGAGTCTTGTAATTCGATAATCAGATGTAAGCATCGAATGTGGAAGCCATTTAAATACAGCACACAGATGAGGAATAATTAAACAATGAAATTGATGATTCACAAAGTAAAGTGATAGATGTAACAATTATCAAACAGTAACTTAGGAAACTATAACAATTGGAATAATTATTCATGTAATTCAGATTGTTCAGATCGGAGCGCTTTTAATCAAAGTACGAAACACTTAAGGAAATCTAGAAGCCTAAAGTATGCTTCCGAAAGTTAATTTAAACATGTTACGGAGATAAGTACGAGAAAAACTCGGGAAGAAGGTGAAAGTAATAAGAAAATGCAGCCAGGAAAGATTTAAAGTATACGCATAAATAACTGCTTGTGCCACGGAAGCGAAAATATAATTATCTAGCATTTACAATTGCCAGATTAACTTATAGGAGCATCGAAGTCTACATTTTGTTAAACACCTTTAGATTTTAACGAAACACTTTGCAGGAAATTATGGAAACTTATACGAGCAGAAGTACACAATTGAGGAAATTATTAAAATACGTCTTGTGATCCGTCAATTTCACTGAACACGTTCCATCTGAATACGACTAGTCTACAGAAACAAATAGCGCTATCAAAACATTCCGACGAACATCAGAGTTTTTCCAATAATCGGATGCAACTGCGCAAGAAGAGAATGATACTCGATCTTAAGATATCAGGTCTCGCATTGATATAATATTAATCTCAAGTAATAGAAGAGTTAAGTATACGAATATCCACGCGAACAAAATACTTATTTTTCACTGCTTGATACTCTTCTAGCTGATACGTAAATGTCTGGCGTACAATGTACGAAATGTAGAGGCTTGAAACTTATTTAACTTTGAAATCAAACTCCAAAATATACCGCGAGAGAATCCTATCTAAAACTTTTGTCTGGATTTTACATTAATAATTAATGTCTTCTTGCATTATATCCGATTTTCGTCGGAGACCCCGAAGAAAGTTACGTCGGATTCGATCAAGCCGGGAGATAACGTAAACGTAAATACATTCAAATGGTGTTACGGGTTAGCTTGTTAGGCAAGAGTTAGTCAACGTGTTAGCGTAATTTTTCCCCTTCGCAACCACGGTACGTGGCTTCCGCCGAGCCCCGAGAGGAGAGCCGAGAAGCAAACCGTACGGCATAATTGTACCAACGAATAATATGTCAAAAAAGAAAGGGGGGGAGAGAGAGAGAGAGAGAGAGAGAGACAGAGTGAGGCAGAGAGATAACAAGAGGGGACAGGGAAGAGAGGGAGATGTTGAAGTGCCGCCGTGTCGGGTACAGTGTGGAGAGCCTATGCGTGCGTACACGCACGCATCCGTACCGTGAGGTGGAGTAACATCGACACAGTGAGGTGACACCGATCGTCCTGTCTTCCTCGTATAGCGTGACAATTGCGCCGCTGAGATGGGTTTTATATTACGGTACACAGTTACATTATGCACAGCGGAATACGTGAGCGGTGCAGATGCACGTGCACTTATCACGATTGGTTGCTGGACTCGTCCTGGTCCAGGACGATTCAGAAAGCGAAGTGGACACGGTTTACGCTTGATACGCCAAACTCAATAAAAGGGAGATACGCGTGTTAACCCTTTGAAGTGTGGTGGTAACCCACGTTACCACCTCAACTTCTTTACTTTCTGGCCATTTAATGTCTAGCATTCAGGTCGGGTTTTGGCGCGTTACGGATTCGGTGTTTTCATTCGAAACTCGGTATCCACGGATCAGGTGTACAATTAGAAAATAAGACTTTATAAATAAGAATTTGAAATCGCCAAGTTTTGCGCTATTTTTTATATTCTATAAGAATTTTCAACTGGAATTTAGGTTCCATGGGTCCTAATAGTATCTACATAATGTTTCTTAGCTGAATTACAGTTGAATGATATTATTCTTTTAAATTTTAAATTCCGCCATTTTGAACGATGAAAATCTGACAACGGATTCGTAATCAGCGACCCTGAAAACCCTTGTATACGAAGTCTCACAAAAAAATGGTTCAATAGAGATGCCTCAAAGGGTTAAGAGATCCCGAGTGTGCTTAAGTAGAGTGTTAAAGTGGAGCTGATCCTTGAGGTGCAATGTAGTAATAGGTAATAATAGGATGGGTAGCCCACACTTTCTTTCGTCTATGAACTCTTCGACCGATTCGCACGTATCTGAGTGAACGTGCCTTTCCCCGCTGCCTTTACATTTGCGCGGGGCTCGCTCGATTCGATTAAATCCCAGTGCAGCTCGATTCATTTCTCTTTTGTAATTTATAATTAAATTTGTAATGTGTCCGAAATTATGTTTCTTCGACTATCTATCAAGGGATAACTCTCCCCGTTTGAGTTCAATGAGAAGACAGACGGGGAATCTGAGATTCAGACGCACGGCGAGTGGTGTATCTGGACCGCGCGGCCGGCGGGTACGAGGGGCTCATCTCAATGGCGTTATCGTCGGCTACTACGCAACGTTGTCGTTGCCGAGAACGGTGTCGGTCGCCGTTACCTCATTACATCGACATGGCATATCGCGAATACACTAACACGCACGCGGGCACGCACGCACGTACACGCACGCACGCGCCAGCACCCACGCAAGTAAAGTTAAGGCGTTAGCGAGATTATAGGATTAGAAGTGGTGCGAGAGAGGCCATGCGGGAGAGCTACGTGTATATAAGCTACAAAAAAGAAAAAGAAGCTTCGTCACGCGGCGAAAAAGAAAAAAAAGGAGAGATAGCGAGAGAAAAAGAGAGAGCGAGAGAAGAGAGAGAGAGAGTGAGATAGAGAAAGAGAGAGAGAGAGAGAGAGAGAGAGTGAGTGAAAAAGAGAGAGAAAGAGACAGCGAGATAAGAGAGAAAGAGAGAGAGACAGAGGCGCAATTTGACTCGATGCTCACCATTCTCGTACTCGGTATTTTCTCTTTATCACGCAGCTCGTACTATGTGATAAAGTAACAACGGTATATTGTTCAACGCTTGCCTCCGGTTGGCTCGTGCTCGGCGGGGCTGGCGGGGGCGGGGTGTGTCGTGTGTTTCTTTTCTCTTATTTGCGTATATGCATTTTTATCTCTTTTTTTTTTTCGTAAAGCTTCGTCCCCTCTCACGGCGAAAGGGCCTGAAGAGAGGAGGACGGAGGGCCGAGGATGCGGGTTTCGTACGCAAAGGCTCGACGTTTCGCAGAAGACGGAGGAGGAAACGTGCACGCTTCAACAGTCTACTTCCGTGGACTTTGATGGAGCGTGAGCTCTCGGTCCCGGTCAAAATCACAGTCACGCGTGTTGAAAGCGACATGATCTCGTCGGCGCATTTCAACGCGCCACGAAAACGACGTTTCTACATTTATCCGCGACGGTAGGACAATAAACACGTCCGTAGCATTCGAGCTTCGACTCATCGAATTTGCATTCGGTGCCAACGATCCGATTACGGAATTCAAAGTAGACGCGCGCGGCGATTTGCATTGAGGATCTCGCGACTTTGACCGGGCTCTCAACCGTGCGACTCCGTTCTGCGTCTCTTTGAGACGTGTGCTCGTTACGCACGTGTCACTCGTACATCGATCTGTCTACACACTGAAAGGTAATGGGGAAACGTGTGTTATATTCGTTAATGAAAGACACCGCTTGGTTTTCTTTTGTTTCCAATTTTATCTTTCCCTTTTTTCCACTTTTAATGGCACTTATTACAGATGGTACAAATGATCCTACAAACTAGCGTATGTATTCGCATTATAGAAGAAAAAAAAACACAGAAGAAGAAGAAGAAAGAAAGAAAAGAGAAAGGGGAGAGCACAATTCAATCGATCGGACGTGACGATGTTGGCCGGTCACACCAGGAGACGACGAGGAACGGACTCGGGGGGTAGGGGTTAAACCGAAGGGGGGTGGACTTGACCAAATTGGAACGTCGTTCACGGTGATACACGACGGTAAGGCGAGAGGTAAAATCGGTAAGGTGAGGACGGATCTTTCGAAGAGACTAAAGAAACGCGGTGACATGCTCGCCTACGGTGATGACAGACTCCAAAGGTGGGAATAAAACAGTCTGGTCCTAAGGGACCGTCTAGATTCAACTATCGGGACACAAAGGACCGATCTAGATCTAATTTTTATGAAAAGGGGGGGGGCAGAAACCGGACGAGAGATTCTCTCCTCGTCATGCATCGGGAATTTAAGAGACAGGTGGGTAAAATGTAGAAAAACGCGGTTCACTCTGCCGGACACGCTGTGCACGTATACGTCGGCGCGTGTTCTCCTGGCATCCTGGAGCTTTGCGCAGGCAGCGGCTTCTTCCGAGTTGCTGGAGGCGCGATTGACCAAGAGAAGCGTCACGCTGATGGATCACGGGTGTTCACGACGGTTGATCGGTCGATTTTCAGTTTCGCGCACGTGGAGGAGGTCTTTACGTGGAGAGGGTAGAACAACAGAGACGCTCCCGACGTGGGACCCACGTTGGTAGTATGCTACTCAGGAATCAAGGGTAGAAGAGGGTGTGAGGGGCGGGGGGGGGGCAGGGTCGAAGTTGTGCGACGGCAGATGCACTCACTCGTCCTTCGCTAGATGCTCGCCTTGGTCCATGGACAGGCAGCCAGCTCCGCCACCGAAGCCGTAGCCCTTAGGGCCGAACTTGCGGGCGTGGCAGACTTTGCAAAACAGCTCGCCCTCGTGCTCGGAGCAGTTTGTCGAGTCGAGCAGTTTGCCGCAAAGACCTGCAACACACGTTCGTCGTCCGTCGTTGGAGATTACGGCACTTCCTGCTGGATGTACTCAAGTGTCGAGGCGTAAAGCACCGTAAACTGTGCTGTATTACCTCGGGAGATGTACTCGAATAGTGCTTGACTTATTTTAATTCGGCAATTTTTAGAGTATATATCCCAAATACGTGTATTTTATGACATTCTCACGTATATTCGGCACTTTATTATTGAAGAATCGCGCGTAAAATACAAAATGGTGCAGTGAGCGCGTCAAAATGTTGGAGCATAACCATTACCTTCCGTAAACATAACAAGGTACATTTTTTGAAACAATAAAACTCATAAGGCTCTGACGTGAAAGCGCAATTCGAATGAAGGATATAAGAGCCAAGACAGGACGTTAGTGTCCAAATGATTTTAATTTTTAAATTTATTGCGAATTTTTATATTTTTTTAAATTTTCGCATATGTTGTACATTTTTACACGTGTACAAAGACAAACATTTTTATTGATACGCTGTAAAATAATACTCGAAAGTATTTAACATCGGCAAAATACGTCAATTCACGTGACGATTTATCTCTTAAAATTTATTTCGTTTTAGAAATAGTAATTTACGTGCATCTTTTCGAAACACGGCAATGTTCACCAGTGAGATTATCGTGAATTATTCACATTGGTCATTGCACCCGAAAGCATTACTGGACAGTCGACAATAGATTTTTGGCCAACCTGCAGACCCGATAACAATCGCGACGAACTCGCCGAGCATAAAATTTATTTTAAACCAACTAAAAATAGAAAACTCAATAATGTTTTTCGTTAACGGAATTATTTGGCCATTTTAACAGAACATAGTCTCACAGAACAAATAGAAAAGCATACCATTAAATTCAGATAAAAAAGCAGGTTTCACAAATTTAAAAAAGCAAAAATACATAAAAATAAATAATATCTAGCTATTTACGTAAACAGCGATTGCCTAACAATACACTGTTTCACTTTGTGCTTTTAAGAAACTAAAACTGTCGGAAATATTGCTTTCATGTAAATTAAATGTTTTCAACAAATAAATTCGTGCTTGTATGAAAATGTGCTATTTGCACGATAAATGTTTTCGCTGTCTACGTAAAATTAAATATATTTCTGTTAAAAATTTTTTGTGCATTATACTGAGTCATTCCAAAAGTAGTGTGGCTTTTCAGAAAAAAATTTTGCAGTTGAGCAAAAAAAAATATATATATTTCACATTTAAATTTTAATCCAAAATATGTTTTCCATTACTACTTCTGCTCGTCTTAAATTTCCCTGATAAAAGTCTTTCGGTTTTAAACTAAAGAATAAGCTTCATTTTACGCCGCATTATTTGCGAAACGACCCAGTATTTTCTCTCTTTCCGTTTTTAATTTACAAAACGATATCAATTCTTCTGTTTCAAAGTATCGATTCGTTGTAATTATGTGATTAAGAGACCACTTGTTTGCATTCTCTCTATTTCTAAATGATAAAATTATGCTTGTTTACTCACCGCACTTGAAGCACATTTTGTGCCATTTCAGTCCACCGGCAACCCGCTCTTCTGCAGCGTAAACGGATTTGCCACATTTGGGGCATTTTGGATGTTCCACGGGCTTGAAAGGCATTTTTACACTGAAAAAGAAACTCTGTTATCGCGCATATCTTGTTACACCGAAATTAGTCGCAAAATCAATCATCGTCATGTCAAGTCAAAAAGTTATTACAAGACTAATTATTATCTCGTACTGTTACGCAATCGGAAAGACGATGCAATCTTACGATAATTATTTCGTAACGCTAATACAAGTAAAAGTGCATTATAATTAACGTCAAAAGTAACTTTGATTCTTTCTAGAAGAGACCCCGTGGAAAGTTCGCAGAACGATTGCAGCGCAATTTGATCGCGAAAATATTTTTATCAAAACTTTATGGTTTTGAAATCCGTAATTCGTAATTCGAAATCTAATTCGACATCTTTATTAATATCGAGAGGAATCATCGCCGGTACGGTAACCCATTTCGGTTACCTAACCAGTCGCTTACGAGGACGTAAACAATCCGCGTTTCCGTCTGACTCGTCGGCAACCAATTCTATTTTCGTGGCCAGCTTAAAGCGCGCGCACAGTTGAGCAAGTGAAGAGACGAGCTATATAGAAAGAGGAATAAAAGTACTTCACGCGAGATACTAGAGCATTGAACAGATCTGCTATGGCAAACAGACCTACAGTGTCTTTCCATAATATAGAAAACATTTTGATAATAGTTCGACGCATATTTGAATATTTAAAGAAATTGCAGATTATATGTGCATTGATAAAGTCACATGAAAAGTTCAATAAAGTTAAATTGGTAACTGAATAAAAGAGAAAACTGTTTATCCAAAGCCTAGATGTCAGTAATCTTGAAGAAATTTTGGCGAATTAAGATGGAGAAAATACATAGATGATGAGCCATTAATCTCACGATTAGATTATTTTCAAGTAGATATATTGTCATTTTTCCGATAATAACTATCGACATATAGATTAAAACATTATAATATGAATACTTCACGTTACACTTTAGATTATTCAACGATATCTGCACGAAAGGATATAATTTATTTCTATGTATCTAAATGTTAAGCGATACGGACTGTAACTCCGAATTACTCTGTACGATTGTAAGAAAGTAGTAATGTATATTGTCATTACAAATATTTGTGATTTAGATATCTATTTAGAAATTTCAACGACTTGGTAGAGATGTGTGTTATAAGAAAATCTTTAATTATTTAAGATAGGTATTTACGACAACCCACATAATTACTGTTGCTGAAAACGTGAAAGTAAATAGCGATCGAGTGACACGCTTGTTGCAACGAAATAGTGATGATATCTGGTACGAAAATAAATGGATGTGCGTAATAGCGTTTGGCAGTGCTAATTAATCGTGTACCTGTAGCAATAATATTTCATTTAATAGCATATGAAGATGACAGTAGTGGCAGTAGTAATAGCAACCAAAGGTAACAATATAATATATTTGGCACACGTGTCATATACATGCATTACGATATTCTTAAAAAAAATTAATGCAGAGACATAACAGTAGAAATAGATGTAGGAACACACACTCTCTTTCTCTCTCTCTCTCTCTCACATTGAATTTATTATTATTGTAACAGTGGTACTTATAATAAATTGTATGCTTTTGCACTCCTATGGTGCATAATTTTGAAGATTTAGTTTCTTATTTTCATGTTCTTTTGCTGCCTAACAGTTTATCATATAAAAATATCTTGAACTACACATTGGATTATGTGCTATTGTTGCAAACGTTTCATTTTTAAATTGCAAAAAGTATACGGATATTATTCTGCGTATAATGATAAATGCCTGTGTAATCGTGAAAACGTTAGGGACTAGAAAATGTGCTGTATTACTACTAACAAAGGTGGGGAAAACAGTAGAGCTATACTACTTTTCTATTTAAGTTAACATAAACTTTATATTATATCGAATATTTTTTAATATTATCTTCATTTTCTGACAGACTCTATACGATTGCAATGTTGTTATATATATATATATATATATATATATGTGTGTGTGTGTGTGTGTGTATATGTATATACATATACATACGTGTATAAAGCAAGATGGGAAAAGACATTTCCTAGCGAGAAAGATATTACCTGTATTTTTGGAACAAATGGTTGACATTTTATATAACAAAAACTTATAGAACATAATTAGTAATTTCAGAAATTAAGAATTTAACTTTTATTATATTTCATTTATTTTTTGAATTGTAGTTAATTTTATCTCACCTATGAGTACTATTTCATAGAGTAAAATGTGGACCAGAAAATAAATCAGCTAACAACTCGAAGTCTGAATTTATAAAATATATTTACTCAAACTGTCGCTATATTTTTATTAATACTTAATAATATTCTGGTCTCAATTAAATATTCAAATAGTTGTTCATCCCTCTTGAAAAACTGAGTTTAATTCGTGTCTATGACCGAACATGTGCCCCCGTAGCGATCAGCGCGTTTTCAGCCGCATAAATGCGCTCCGTTACCACTGACAGTAGTATCCGGTAACGATATGACATGCCAGTAGTAGCGGCCGTAATAGTGGCAGTAGTAACAGGCGGCACTGCGCCGCGCACGCTAAGGAGAAAGAAAGAGAGAGAGAGAGAGAGAGAGAGAGAGAGAGAGAGAGAGAGAGAGGAGAGAACGCGGGCGATTCTATATCCGTGCAGACGCGTGCAGGCGAGTCCGCGAAACCGTATTAGGGAAGGCGCTAGGATCTCCACACACACGATAGCGGTCTCCTCATTTTACCCCTACCGTTCAATCGCACGCATATTCGTGGATGGAATGCGTGGTAACCCAACGCGTATCCTGCCACGCCGATAGGGACTGCAAAGTGTCCCTACGCGTCGAAGTGTTACGTTACACGCGATAAATGGAAAACCAAGACCAACGTTAACTCGAAACTTTTATAAAATTTTATCTATTATTTCTATTAGACACCCTTTAATACTTCTGCATATAATTTGTATATTGTTTAATTATTATGGATTAATTGTTGTTCAATATGTATAAGGTATCTCTGGTGATATTTATGCAGGCTTGTTATTAAAATGATTTGACAATGTAAAACATTAATCGAATTAATGAAATTCATAAGGCTCTCTTGTGATAAGCACAAATTCGAAGGAATAAAGAGTAAAGAGCCGTGACAGGACGTTAGTGTCTAAAGAATTTTTATTTTTAAATTTATTGCGAAAAATATTGCTTCAGCCATGACCCTTTATTCCTTCGAATTTGTGTTTAAAACATAAAAATTAAAATTTTAAACAATTTATGTTACAGTATTATGATACGGCGTAATACATTACTCTGTCATTGAAATCTTTGGAATATTAAAAACTTACATTTTTTGTTACATCTTATTTACGTGTGCGTGTATATTATATTATTGTTAACAAAAATATGAAGTATCTGCGAACCGCACGACTAAGAAATGCAAATGCCGGTGTTAAATTGTTGAAATGAGTCATGATTGTTGAATATGCGCAATATGTCGACGGGTGTGCTATAATTAAATAGAAATATATATATATATAATAATGAAACGGCCAAGAATGAGCAATGTGGTAAATGTTGGCACTAACAAACGCGCGCATGAATCATCGGCTCGGTAATTATCATAAATGTTTGCTTTGCAACATTTAAGCTTTATACTTGTGACGAAGAAAATAATTTACCAAGTGAGAAAATAATTACTTTACAAAAAGTTTAATAAAAAAGTTCTTTACTTTTTTTCAAACACGTTCCGAGAATTTTGCGAAATAAATTGCGCTATAGTTTTACTTAATATATTGTTAATATATCTGTAAAATGTGTAAGATGCGGTATAAATCTTTTATATGCATTGCGTTTCTTCATTCTTACAGTTCCGTTAATCAAATATTTGAGAAACTCTCATTTCATTGGAACATTGGATGCATAGTTTATCCAACAAGTTCCATTTCAATTTAATAACAATTTTTTTATACACACACATTTGTCAATTAATTGTCTTCAAAAGAAGATTGCGATTTCAATAATATAACTTATCGCAATCAGAATAAAGAATTTCTCCCGACGAAACACGGTTTGATTTAGCTTTTTTGTATATCTGAAAATATTATCGTGTTTCAGGTTAATTTGCTAATTCACGTTTGAATAATAAAACTGGATAAGTTAGGATTTTGAAATTAGATCGTGCTATAAAGAAATCCTAGTATCCGATGACTTGCATGACACATAATTACGTTTTATAATGAAACATTTTTAATGAAACATAATATCTTATGTTACGATCCGAATGAAGGAATCAAAATATTATCACGGTGCACGAAAATCCCCATCCTCCCATGTCTGCGTACGACTCTTCAAGTATTAGCCTGTTAAATGATATCGTCGAAATTAAACGTTGAAATTAAGTTTCTCCTTCATTCGTAACGGATGAACGACATCTCTAACGTATTTTTAAACATCGCTAACTCTCAATTATCACATTAAACGTATAAATGTTTAAACAATAACCTTTTAATGTATTCGCTGGAAAATCCATGCACTTATCTATACTCGCATTTTACAATTAGCTTACAAGTAACATTATAATGATTTTATAAAATAAGCATCGGGGCAATTCGACTAATCACATTCAACATAGCAATAATATCTTGTTTGAATTTACTTGATGACTTAGTTTGATTAGCACCGTCAGTCGACGAGAGACCGTTTCGGTAACTAATAATAGCGGGGGAAATGCGTGCGTATTTTTAAAATTAACGAGGTTGCTAACTCGAATACACATGATAATAATATATTTTCTGATTACGATACGCACCTTTATTTTATGTAAAATTTATTCAAACGCTATTAAATATCGCGAGTATCGCGTGCGATCTCTTCGGGAACTTTTATATGGGAAGGCTATTACATTTTACTCATGCTTGAGCTGTCTATGGCCGGTGGTTCATAGACCGTTTTTATTTCAAGATTATCTTGAGTAATGTTTCAAGACGTTAACGTGGCTCTGTGATTGGTTTACAACACACTGTGGCTTAAGATGTTCTTATAAATATAAGAGTGAGCTATGAATACTGGCCTGTGTGTCTCTTTGAATTCGCGAAGCATCACGTCGGGATATTATAAGTTTAATTCGCTGGAACTGTAAAATTTTTCATCAGCTGAAACTTATTTACTTATGTATTTATTATAAAGATATAAGCTTCAAAATTTTGATATTTAATTGCTACTATTTTTATTTCTTCATCCTCTCCAATGTTTTAGGGTCGGCGGGCAGCTCGGTTTGTCAATTTTATTAATACCTCGTATGTCTAATTATAACGTAATATAGAATCTATGTTCAGTGATCGTGATTCTATTTTAACCTTCGCGCGAGATTAGATATTAAGGACATTAGATTTTCCAGCATGCCATATTCATTTTAGACAGCACAGACATTCCTCGCCCTGTCCATCTATACAGTCCGCTGCGTCAATTACAATTAAATCTTGTTAGCTATATCTTCACCTGTATTATTAAATAAGGCTATAAGATGTTCTACTTCAAATACGGAATCGTCAAGATTCCCCCACATATAAAACTATAGCCCAACTAAAAATTTTAACTTGAAAGGGTTAATTCAATCGTGTGTACTCGAAATATGTTTTCACATGTTTTCTTCGGTTTGTCTGCCTTCGGTATGTTAAACAAGCGTAAATTACTAATTTAAAATAAAATGTCATTTATAAACCGTAGCGATTTTCTAAAATTCAAAGTTGATTAAAACGTAGACTGTTTGATCAATTTTTTTAAGAGCAGTCTAACCGGCTGCATGGATAAATTGGCAGATTTACAGTATTTTTCTATTTTTCAATAATAATTAATAGCTTCATAAGAATAAGTCACTAAATATTTGCACAGATACAAGTAGATCTCAAGACTTTATGAACCGCATAATATGGCGAATAATTAGTATCGTTTAAGAAGGACCATCGTTTCATTTGCAAACTGATCTATCCGGGAATTCTCAGCGACAATTGACAATTCACCCAAGTAGCTGACCTGATGTATGTACGTTCAAAGATCTCGATGAATATCGTTCATGGCACTATGGGGTCTCGGTGCTTCGGGAGGAGTAACACGAGGAAAACAGAGAAATCACGAGGCTGAGGTAAATCACGCTTGCAACGATTCTACGTGCACTTCTTCGAGCGATACGAAATAGCGTTGTTTGTGTATTGTCGTCGGTGTCGTCGACATATGCGGCTAAGGAGGGTATCGTCAACGATAGTGGTAGAGAAGTGTCTGATAGTATAGTATGTATCCGCCACACTGTTATCTCTTGGTACTCACCACTAATCGATCGTAGTCGCGCGAGAAACAGAAAGGAACAGACGGAGAAACGCAGAAGAAAAGAGAAAGAAGAATTCGTAAGTGGATTACAAAACACCGAGCACTCTACACCGCACTAATACTGGATTCGAATGACTGTGCTCGCGTCGGGAGCGTCCTAGTCATAAGCCCCCCAGGTTTTGCACACGGCACGTGTACATTGGGAACGTCAATGCTGGTTGATGATGCTGCGCCGCCGGTGGCGGTGATGGCGGACGCCAAAGAGCAGCGGGGATTCTTCGCTCGAGTAAGATCTCGGGCCTTTGGGGCGAAGTATATTCGCCGATAATCTTCGGCAGGCTCGGTCACGCACTTCGAAGTCTGTCGAACAATGTGATTTTCGAGAGCGAGACGCCTCGATTAATTTAATTTTTCAACCATATCTCGGCGAGTCTCGATAGCGTTTTATTATTCACGAATCTATATCCTTATCTTTTGTTCATTTTTTACGGGCTTATGTGATACTTATGTATACTACTGTATACTCTATATCAGAATTTATAGGCAAATATTGGATATCGCGAAATTTATAAATAGAAATTTTACTAAATATTAATATAATAAAATATAACTCGATATTCATTTTCTAACAGAGATTGATTTAATTTTTTCTCTTCAATTACTATCCGCATATTAAAAATATAAAATATCGAGTTATATTTTATTATACATATTTTATTATATTAATATTTAGTAAAATTTTTATTTATAAATTTTGCGATATCCAATATTTACCTATAAATTCTGATGTACACACACAGACATACACAAATGCTATCTATAAACTTCTCAATTTTATTATTATATATCAGAACTAATTAATTTGATTATTCAAATTTGGAATATCTTGATTGAAACATTAATGAAATTATCTGCAGTGTTACACTATACTTGCTTAATAAAAAAGAAAATTTCATTTTTTTATGTAATATAAATCTATAAAATTTAATAAAACTCTGTTTTATCATTTTTGCACGAAAACTCTGTGACACCTACAATGATTGTCTGTCATATTCCTTGAAATTCAATCATCAGTTAAAATTAACACTTGCTAAAATTATATTTATAAAGTAGATATTCATAGAAAAAAATTAAGCGTGTGTGGAAATTGTAAAATATACAATTAAAAACAGTTAATATTATAAAAAATCGAAATTTAATATTTATTTTGGACAAGAGATGAGTATTCTAATCTCTTCATGGTTTTTCAAGAAATCCATTATTTTAGAAGATAATAAAAGATTGATGAAGCATGAAGAAGAGTACATGAAGTATTTATCTACTTTCGAGAATAAATAGATTATCTTCATTTTTTCAAGACGCCGAATGCACTTAGTAGTTTTTATTCTAAAGAGATAGAATATTCTATATGATTATTCAGATACGAAATCTGGTGTATGTATCTTTAAGCTTCGGAATGTGACATTAGTTAGGGAGAAATATTACAGAATTGATACAAAATGTATAATGCATAAATAGTATGACAAATTCTAATGCATTTCAGTAGTTGGCGTGCCACAGAATTCCCAACATATCGAACATGACCTGTCTGCAAAAAGAAGCAACAGAAATGCCTCGCAGTCTAGTCGATGACACTTACATATATACCGTAGATTAGTAGTATGTTATATTTATCCGCGATAATAATAAAAGTGAATCATTGTTACGATATTATTATCCCCATTTGGGTAAGATTAGTTTGATAACATTATGTTAACGGTTTATTCATGTATGTTGTGTAAGCGAATTAGAAATTACCATCAGGAGACACAGTTCTAGATTATAAATTAATAAAAAAAAATTACTAAAATTCATAAGGCTGTAATGTGAAAACACAAATTCGAAGTAATAAAGGCGTGAGAGACAAGACAGGATGTTAGTGTCTAAATAATTTTAAGTTAATTGCGAAAAATAATACCTCGGCCAGGATAAAAAATAAAATTTTCTCCATTTAGTGATTTTTAAATCAAGAAATAGGATAAACATTAAGAGATTTCAACGTTTCGCGCATTAAGTATTCATTTCTCGGACTAAAAATCTTTAAGGTACATATTTTTTCTTTATAATTAATGCGCGCGATATCACTAGGGGTTGTAAAAAGTGAAGATATAATATACAGAGCAAAGTTTTCTATTATGAGATAGGCTTTTAATATGAGATAGCAGGTTTTCAACATAAAAATTTAATCACAAATCTTTAGTCACGACGATTACACGGCCTAATAATGAATTTTCCACTAAACAGAAGAGATTTCACTCCCAAGGACAACAAAGTCACGATGAAACCAGTAGATAATGCCTATTAATTTAGCAAAGAACCCTGCTCTCTCATATTAGGAGCTTATTTCATAACAGGAAATTTTCCTCTAGTTTTTAAAACAATATCTCCATATGATATTTATGCACTGAAAAGGCTATGTTAAAATACACGTTTGAATATAACAAAATCCACTTTGAAAAATGTGAAATCTCCGAAGACTCATAACGGAAAATTCCGCCCCGAGAATTATGATCGCGAAGAAAAGTAAAAATATATCGAAGACAGTAGAATTCCGACGCGAAGAATTCCGAAGGGTACTCGCAGTTGAAGCATAGCAAAAATATGCGAGGCTCCAACCCGCTCGATTTTTTTCTATGAATATCCTCGCCCTTATAGATATAATTTTGGCAGGCGTTAATTTTAACCGATGATTGAATTTCAACAGGTATGACAGACATTTGCACGTGTCACAGAGTCTTCGCGCAAAAGATGATGAAACAGAGTTTTATTAAATTTTTCGCAATAAATTTAAAAATTAAAATCATTTAGACACTAACATCCTGTCTTGGCTCTTATTCCTTTATCACTTTCTATTTGTGTTTTTACATCAGAGCCTTGTGAATTTCATTAAGAGTTTTATTAAATTTTATTGATTTAGGTTACCTAAAAAATATAATTTTCCTCTTTATTATATTTTATACGTGTCTGTCGTATTCTTTTTGCATATTTTCCGTAGTAAAATAGTCTCTTCTTTCTTTTTCAAATGTTCTACTACATTAAATTATGCCGTGTGGCAAATGTAAGTACACATACAATATTTCTAACTCTTCCTATAAGAAATTTTCAATCAAGACAGTTGTCGGAGAGTTGAGCGGAAGTGATCGATGCACGCGCTAAAATTGAATGCACTAATCATTGCGAGTCGCGACGAATCGCGATCGTCTTCCGCAATTCCGTCGCGCCGCGGAATTTTCGAGCGGCCTACAATTCCTCGGCTGACGAGTGCGTTCCGTGTTCCCGAGCACCCTCGTTTCGGCCGCGGGATTCCTCATTCCGACGAGAGTGGCTGAGAGCGCGAGGGGATCGCGATCTCTCGCCTTTTCGCGAGGAGGCGGGCACAGTGAGCGCCGTGGTGAGAAGCCGCGCGGCCACACACTCATCGTCTAATAATAATATCTTACTCAAATTTCTATTTTTAGGGGGATATACGTGTGCGCGCACGTGCCTTTATGTAAAAGGCCCAAGTATATGGTTACGCACGCCTACGTACGGGCTGAGCTTACGGTTACGAAGACGACGACGTCTCGAATTATTATTGCACACCGGCGGAATGTAATGTCTGTCGTGGATCTAACAATGTAACGGCCGGATGAATAACAGAGAGGCACCGCTAAGAATTCACACAACACGGCGAAGCTTTGATCTTTAGAAATAATATAAAATATTCGCGTTAAACGCTCAGCCGTAATTTCCAACTGTATACAGCATAAACAGATATGAATTATTGCTACGGCGCTGCACTTTTTTTTTGTAATATGTTATGTAGATTATGTGTGCAATACAGATATCGAGGATATTGTCGCAGGGTTGTTATTTCGATAACTGTAAGCGATGAAAATTGGAAAAAGCATATTATATAAGAAATAGGATATTTTCGGTCGCTACCTCGTCTACGACATAGAATATATTATAATACGATAAATATATCGTATACAATTCGATGTGAGTGTAATGCCGCTACGTTTATATATTCACAAAATGGTATATTATTTATAAGTTGTAGACTTGAAGCCGTGCGTCACATATAAGTATTTTGATAATAAAATTACGTGCCTCGCATACATATTGGGAGGGAAAACTTTTAACAAAGACTTTAGAAGCTATATAAAAATACACGCCGATAACTCTAGATTATTATTTTACGTTTATAACACTTTTTCGCACGTGTAATGTGTACTTCTATAAAAATTTATGCAACATACACTTTCCTCGTCTTATCCTGGAGAATATAAAACTGCAGCCTATACTTTTCTCCTTTAATATTAAACGTTCTACGTACGAATATTACAAGTCTTGCGAAAGGAATTAAAGTGGGAAGAGAATGCATATAGACGTAGTGTATAATAAATAAGCACGTTATTAGAGAAAAGTCCTCTATTATGAGAAGGTTTCTAATCTATTTTGATTTTCAACACTCAAATTTAATCACAAATATTTTCTCGCAACGATTACACAATCTAATAATGAATTTTCCACTAAACAGAGTTCGCTCCAAAGGCAATAAATTCATGGTGGAATCAACTGATGATGCCTATTAATTTAACAGAAACCTCGCTATCCCATATTAGGAATCTATCCCGTAATAGGAAATTCTTTCTTCTACTCATGTCTGTAAATCATAGTTTTCTTTTTCAAAATTGATAATTTCAGCGTTTAAGTGTTATAGGACATTTGACATCAGAAATAATAAATTATGAGCGAGCGAGAGAGAGAGAGAGAGAGAGAGATATCATAATTTTGACGTTTTATTATAAAGATTTATGACGCAGGGGAGAATGTTGTATGTTGCGAGATTACATGTTGCGCACGTAGCTTATAGATTACAATTATAACAAAGGAAAAAATAAAATGTGTGTATTTGAAATGGCATGTATTTAAAATTAATGAAAAGGTTTATTTACCGCTTCGATAAATAATTTATTTACGAGTTAAATTTATTTGTCTTTTACACACGCAGCGTACACTTATAAAGCGCCGCGAGTGAGATCTCACATTTCTCTCTCCTTCAGCGCTGCCGAAGCGTTGCGTTAAAATCGTTTCTGTTATCCCGCTACAACGCTTGAATTTACTCGCCTAGCAGGCGGTGCTCGTTATTCGCTAAGCTTGACAAGTTTACGCGCCGCGGACTATTTGCTCGCGAAAGTAAACTGCAGCATGCGCTGGTACGAAGTATATGTACGCGTGGACCTTCCGCGCGCGGTACCGGCGACGACGGCGGCCGATGGCTTCCGGTATATTCTCAATCCTGCACACCGGAGATCCGGTAATACCGTCCGCTTTAGCATTTTACATAAAAGCCGCGCGCGCATTTATCGGCCTGAAAATAGAAATTTGAGCAAGATATTATTATTAGACGATGAGTGTTCTCGCGGTCCTCAAATCGGTCGGCCAGTTTGTTACCGAGGAGCCGCCGGAGGACGGCCGCCCGTGCTTTACGTCCTCCTCCGCCCCATCTTTCTCCGTTGATCTATTAGCGCACGAGATCGTTTCTCGTAGGAATATTTACGTTTTCATTACGCATTATCTTCTCGCAAGAATTTTCCCTCATTTATTACAATTATTTAACGAATCCGAGTTTTCCATTTTGTCTTCATCTGTATCTTTACATTCAATTTCAATATGTACAACGTGTAATCTATTGTATACGTGTAATCTAGATTACATCCGTATACAACATTCATACATGCAACTAGATACAATTTCGTTATTTTTTTTTATAAATTATCATACAATTATATATTTAATAGACGCGACAGCAATGTTGTTAAAAGTTATGTTAATAATATATGTATGTTGCCTAACACATCTCAGGTTTCTCTCTGATAGAATCCATCTACTAGCGCCTCTAAAAGGACAAAACGTGCACCTTGAACTACGGTAGCCATACATAGCTATGTAATTTCTGACGGTAACATGCTATTTCCGTAGTTTTCAGTTCTGTTATGTACTGTGTAAGTGATTTTACGATACTATTCTGTGCCATGTCTATAAAATAACAGTTTTTAGGTTTCATAATATAACATAATTGTATAAAAAAATCAAATGTATAGTATTAGTTTTTAATAGCGCGACCCAGTTACCGAACATTTTGTATCCCATATTAAATAGTATAACATTAAGTTTTGTTGACCGTATCTGGTAATTTTAATGTTTAAACATCGCTATGTTCCGACCATGGAAATTTAGTGTCAGAGTTTGATACACGAGACCATTGCTCGAGAGATAACAGGGCATGACTGCCTTAAATATAATAGTATACATATAGAAAGGATATAAGTATATTTTTCATATTTATATACACGTTCTACATAAGTATTACTTATTACAAAAATATTAATTAAAATATAAGTTTTGATTCTCGTGTACTTAAAAGTTTATCTACACACCCCGCGCGTTTCGTCAACAGTTCGCTACGTTCCTGTAAATTTTCAGAAGCACACATATTTTTTACAAGAAAATGATTTATGAATAATCTAAGACTGTCCCTGAAAGTTTGCAACTTTGGAGATAAAGATATTCTTGCAAATACTTCCAAACAGGCTTCCTCATTTTCGTGTAATAATATTCCTAGCATGACTTGTCGTACAAGCCTCATTGTTAACTTGTCTAATTCTGTAAACTCGATCACCTATAATTATTTAATAATAAAAATTAGTAAAATTATCACAGAATTAAAAGTTAAATAAACATCATGTAGAAGAAAATAGCAATAACAAAATAATTTAGGCATTTCTATACCTTTAAAATGGAAAGAGGAAGAGCTTTGCCTAAGAAGAGAAAAGTCAAAAATTTTGCTAAATTCGTTAGCTGTTTTGTACTCAAATCATCCAATGTTTTCAACTTATCCCACAATGCATATTGTATAGTTAACTGTAACAATTAACCATTATTAATCATTATAGAGTAAAATAAGAAAATAATACACTGTTATGCTTTCGAAAATCCATATGCAAAAATTTCTGTACTCCTGTATTGTCATTAATAACAAAAATAATATAATTTAATATTAATTTTACTCAATATCAAGTACTATAGGAGAACAATAGAGTCACATTCGTATAGAGCAATGCTTTCTCACAGAATTTTCTATTTTAAGTTTTAAGTGCTAGATTGTTGTCAGAAAAATTGACTTTTTGTCGCTGATTGATTTCCTGACATACTGATTTAACTAATTCTAAGTATATCTAAACATTTAAAAAGTGATTCTTTGCGCTAAGTAGATTACACAGCTGCAATAATGCTTTCTATAGAATTATATTTACATACCTGATATTTTCTGTCAGAATCACATAGCCTTTGCGCCAATACGGCATAATAAGGATTGAACTTTTTCTCTTGAATGCAACAATTGAGGATAACGTAAATTACTTCCCTCTGTTGTTGATTTTTCAAGCCAAGGTGATGAACTTTTTCGAATGCGTCTAAATAATCTTCAGCTGTCATAAGTACGCAAAAGATATCTCTTCTGACATCAGTATTCATTCTCTGCTTTCGTGCCAACTCCAGTATATCCTCGCTGTATTTTTGTCCTTTGTCTCCTGAATTCTTTTCTAATTTACCAATATCCTTGAGACCGGACCAGGCGGATCCTACTATCCACCATTTTCCTCTTTCATCAGCTAAAAAAAAGATAGAAACATACATACTCTTATTGTATTATTTACAAATAATTTTAATATAAGACTATATAAACTTATTATTTATATTAATATTTCAATATTGTTCGTTTAAACTTTATGTATTACTTTTCATACCTTCTAACAAGTCTTCTAAAGTTACATTGAATTGTGTAACACCACTGCCCTTATGAATAAAATTCCTCAGAATTTTCTTCAAGTGTTCTATCAGAGTTGAATCGTACTGTGGTATTTTGCTCATATTATTATTTTTTATTGCCAGTAATACATCCAACATAAATTTAACTCTCGAGCTGTAAAGATGATATAATTAATATGTATTATAATTAAAAATATAAAAAATACACAGATAAATAAGGACATTTATGCAATAAGAAAAACAACTAAAAATAAAATGTATCTGTATTAGTGCAGCATTTAAAAATATAAAGCTTACTTGTCGAGGGTGGCATTATTTGCTTTCTGTTGTAAATTTATTATCAGTCCTTTCAGAGCAATAGGATCGTCTTTTCTTAATTGAAAGCCTACTGTCCTTAAAGTCAATAAAATCAGCTCAATTTCCTTCTCGGTAAACTTCGCTGCTAGTTTCTCTAATATTTGATACAAGAGACGATGGCCATACACCTAGAAGGAACGGAATCGTAAATGCTCTGCAAAAACGCGAAAGAAAAGCAGCATTAATATCTTGCCTTGAAATTATAGAGATGTGAAATCATAAGAATTATATTATCCAATTCCTTGTTCTCAACACAATGAGATTCCTCCAACATGTGGTGAAGCTTTTTTACGATAGTCAGTAAAAAGTGCGCGCCAACTTCCGTGCCGACATTTGCGTGCAATATGGCGATTAACATCATATGTTCACAGACAAGTCGATCTGGAGTCAACACTGGCGTGATTATATTTTCCATCATTAGTTTGGATAACATTACATTCATATCGTTACGACTGTTCGACATATACATTTCTTCTACCTATATTAACAACATTCAAATAAATTTTTATCAGAAATAACAATTCTTCCCAATAAAGATACTTAATTTATAAAAATATAGAGGAAAGTCCCCTATTATGACACAAGAACCCAATATAAGATAGCGGAGTTTCTGTTAAATTATCAAGCATCGTCTATTGGTTCCACCATGAATTTATTGCTCTCGAAGTGAAATCTGTCTAATAGAAAATTGATTGTTGAATCGTGTAATATCGTCGCGACAAAAGATTTGTGATTAAATTTGGACGTTGAAAGCCTGCTCTTACACATTAGAAGTCTATTTCATAATAGGGAACTTCCTTCTATAAGTTTACTATCTATCATTTCCATATTTGACTGAATAACGGGTTCATGCTAATAATTACTTGATTTGCAATGGTGTGCATATTTTGCTCCGCCAATCTGTTTAAAACACCTTTCACCTGTCTTTCCAATCTACGGACTTTCTCACCGTCGGATGGATTATCATTATTTGTAATGCGCCTGGCAGGTGGCACGTATTTCTTTGATACAATGTTACCCTCTTTGTCCCTTTGCCTCCCATAAATGTCTTCCCATAAGCTTTCGTCGTCTGATTGTTCTGGCGCGTTACTGTCATCCAATTCTTCATTTATCGCCTCGTCTTCATCAGCTTCACACTTCTTAGATTTGTCTCTTAGATTCGCTGCATTTGTCTCTTCGGAAGAAATTTCGTCGCTATCGTCTTGAGTCAAACTTTGATCAGACAAGAGACTTTCATTTTCTGAATCTTGCTCAGAATATTCCTTATCGTCTATGCTGCCTTCCTCATCTCGGTTTTCATCCCCAGCCTCAGTACTGTCCTCACCAATAGCCATGTTCAAGTCCTCTTCGAATTCTTCGCTCCGTCCAGTATCCAGCAATTGCTTCTCAGTTTCAACAATGTGATTTCTATTCTCTGAATCGCAGAAGTCCAAGAGATCTAATTAGATGTTAAGGAACTACGAATAATTTAGCAAAAGCAAATTCTTTCAGAAACCTGGAAATGTAAATTTAAAGCATATCGATTTACCTGTATGAAACATAATAGAATGTTTCTTGTTACAATAAACACATTAGTCTAATCTACTTTAGATATGTATGTCTAAAGTCTAATATACAATATGCTCTTTGCGTCCAGAAACATGCTATTTTGTAGAAATACGTTTAAAAATGCGCGCAAGTTGATAAATTGTACAATCGCACAAATTACTTAAGCGTTTTGACTTGCTTATATAAAATAGAATGTTTCTAGACGCAATGTGCACATTGTAGACCTAAAAGACGACTTCAAGATGTTTTTAGACACGTGTGCCGTACGGGAAAGTGTTCTTTCTCTATCTCGACTTTCTTTTCCCCTAGACCTCGCTTTTCAAAACCTTTCCGCTTTAAATATCTTATAGGATAAAAGAATTGCAATTTTATAAAAAGAAGAGTAAATTATGAAGGATACAATCTAATCCATCTGATACGAAAGACTTCGGGATCGACTTGGTCTTTCGCTTGTTCAATTTTAATCGCTTTTCCAACTGTTTGATCGTCTTGTCCTCCTCCAGATTGGCCTGCTTCAGTTGCACCATCCTTTGCTTCTTCGCGCTCTTCTGCATTCTCTCTTCTTTTCTACCTTCGGGCCTCGGTCGTTTTTGCACCTTCGTCACAGGCGCCTGCTCGACGTCATCGCTTTCTTTTATCTTCAGCGACTCGTTAGCCTCGGTCCTCGATTTTCCCATAGTTTTCTCCGAATCATTTCTCGACCTCCTTTGATAATACTCTGCTCGACTTATCTTCTTTTGTTGCCTCTTCTCCTTGCGCAACTGCTTGCGCGTTTTCTGTATCGACTTTGCCTTCTTGTTTTTGCTCTTGGTGTCCAGTGGCCCTTTACGTTGAACACGCCCCATTTCGCGGAGGAACGCTCTTTAATTAACGTCTATCGCGATATATTATTAATAAACTGTATCAATAAGCGTTGATTAGATCGCCGACACTATAACCTCCAGAAATTCACTCCACACGTGCGCCAGCCATAGACTTGTTTATCTTTTCAATCATTTTCAATGGCACTCGGCTGCCTGCACTGAGCCATAGACATAGTATATCTAGACTGCTGGTTGGCGGAGTGGGGGTAGAGCTCACGTAGAAAAGGATGCACTCTGTTTCGTGCATTGAACGTTCTCTCTCGCACACGCGAAAAGAGGGGATAAGGGGAAGCAGTTACTAACCTGTGCGAGAGAGAACGCACAGACACGAAACAGAGTGCATCCTTTTCTACGTGAGCTCTACCCCCACTCCTGAAATTTGAGAGAACCAGCAGTCTAGATATACTATGTCTATGCACTGAGCCAACACGGCCATAGACTTGTTGTTGGTCTAGATAATGCAAGATAATGGCTCCCAGCCCAACAACCGTAAAGCCTCCGCTACAATGATTCTCGGTTCTGTCTACAATGGTCGTAGTCGTAAGAATAATCGACTGCGATTGGTCAATTCTTATCGAGCGACTACGACTACGACCATTGTAGACAGAACCGAGAATCATTGTAGCGGAGACTTAAGGCTAGGTCTACATTGGATGTCGTAAGTCGTGTCGGAAGAAATTGACCAATCACAGTTCATTATTCTTCGACCGTAAGGAGAATAATGAACTGTGATTGGTTAATTTCTTCCGACACGACTTACGACATCCAATGTAGACCCAGCCTTACGGTCGAAGAATAATGAACTGTGATTGGTCAATTTCTTCCGACACGACTTACGACATCCAATG